GGTCAGAGTATTTTTCTAGCTAATATTCACAAAGGTAGGACAATTTGCCACTGAATTTCGTGTTGTGTGCATGCGCAGAAACAACGGGTAGGATGGTTTGCCAGGTAGGATGGTTTCCCAGAACACCGGCTCTGTGACATTTCAGGGAGGGGGACAGGAAGCACAGGAAGTGATGCTGAAATATTCAGATAACATCTGGAATAAGACTGAAACAGAGGCCTCAGGCTCCTGCAGGTTTCAGGTATCACCCTGGGTCAGCACACCTGAGTGAGCTCATCACAGGCCTCTGCAGAACTTTTTAATTTAGCCTTTTAGATCAGCTGACACCTCTGAAACCAGGCTGAGGCCTGGAGTTCCTGACGCTGGTCTAACAGGTAAAACACCTGAGAATGGGAGCAGGAAGCAGGAGATATCGCCATCTTTTACATCCAGTCTGTTTTCTTCTATGACCCTGCTAGCGTCCGCCTCTCTCTGCAGTGACCTGCTGGGAGCAGGATCGACAAACTGGTGCGGAGGTCTAGCTCTGTGCTGGGATGTCCTCTGGAGTCTGTGGAGGTGGCGACAGGAGGGTGTTAGTAAAGCTGACCTCCGTCATGAACAACCCACACCACCCTCTGCATGAGTCTGTGCTGAGCAGCTCCTTTAGGCTGAAACTCACAGATCAGTCAACAGCAGTTAGCCTCCTCCATCATGATGTCATGAGTCACGTGGACATTGTGGACCACCACAGTCACGCCACGTGAATGATGCACCTTATATGTATGGATGTGTACGTGTGTTTGCATGTACATATCTATACTTTCTTAGATAGTGATAGTAGAAGAATAGCTGAAATGTTTTTCTCCGTAACACACGCTGTGTGTGCGTGTACATAGAGCCTCAGTTACCGTGGTATTTATTGTATTATCTTATTGATTTTGTATTTCTGGACTTTCTTCTGCTCTCTGTACCTGAGCTGTGGGAACGCACACGTTTCCCCGCCGTGAGATCAATAAAGACTTATCTTATCTTACTTCTTAACAAAGAGGTTTTATTGTGGAAAACCACAGGAAGTGTCTGTGCTGTCATTAGTGCTTTTACTGTGAAAAGACATGTGAGGAAAACGCTGAGAGTCTTCAGGTGAGCTCGTGATGGGTCACGTGTTTTTCCTGATGTACTGCAGTACTGCATGTAAAAGTACTTTGACTGAATGCTTTTTAAAGGTTTCTCTCCCTTCAGATTCACACATAGGAAGCATCTGTCTAACAAACCACAGGAAAAGTAATAAGAATATTCGTGCTTTGTTCCAGACAGAATCTCTAACTTTTCCACATGTGGTCTCTTATTGGAATTCCTTTGTCAGTGACATTAACTGGAAAAGAGTAACAATTCCTAACAAGTATCTGGTAACAATAAAGTGAAGGAAGTTTAAAATACTGCATACATTTTCTCCTGCTAATCCTTACATGACAAAGTTCAAAAGGGACATAAATGTGAGCTGTGGGTTTTGTGGAAGCCGTCCTGACTGTGCAGCACCTCAGGATCTGTTCATGCGCT